TTGTAAAGTATCTACTAGGCGGTTCTCTACCCAAGGACTGGATTGAGGCTATCGTGTCACATTTTTAAGAAAGGTGATTAGCACCTACCTGATAACTATAGACCGGTCAGTTTAACGAGCGTGCTGGTCAAGTTATTGGAAAAGCTCGTGACCGACGCTCTCGAAGGACACTTGAAAGCGTTTGAGTTGCTTACTCCCTCTCAGCACGGTTTTCGTAAGGGCTATTCTTGCCTTCCTAACTTGTTAACCGTTCGTGAACACTGGGCAGAAGCCAGTGATTGCGGGAAGGCAGTGGATGTGCTGTTTATTGACTTTTCCAAAACTTTTGACACCGTTCCACATTCGCGCCTTTTGTACAAGTTGCATCCATGTGGTATTTCTGGACCAGTCTTACGATGGATTACAGCTTTCATAATCGGAAGGGAAATGTGTGTGCGGGTGGGTTCAAGCCTGTCCTTCTGCCAATATGTTTTCAGTGGCGTTCCGCAATGTTCGGTCCTTGGCCCCCTTCTCTTCACTTTATACGTTAAGGACCTACCTGATGAATTGAGTGTGCCATCCCTAATGTTTGCGGATGATTTGAAACTCTGGTTCACGACAGACGAGCCGATTGGTCCACTGACCCTACAGGTGACTTTGGATAGACTTTGGGACTGGTCAGTTTTGTGGCAGTTGCCCGTAAATTTAGCGAAATGTTCCGGATTGCGCGTTGGTCCGAATGAACCGCCGACGCGTTATTTGCTTGACGGCAACGAGGTACCGCGAGTTCAACTCCAATCTGACCTCGGTGTTTTGCTGTCATCCGACTTTAAGTCCCGTGAACACTGGACGACAGCTGCTCGCAAAGGTTTCAACAGATTGTGCATGATCCGCAGGTCATTCGGGATCATGACCACCGACATGTTCGTTAGACTATTTTCGGCATTGTAATACTGCGTCCAGGCTTGTCCTCCATGCTTGGTTCGTGATCAGGTGGCGGTTGAACGAGTCCTGCGATCCGGGACGAAAATGGTGCACGAATTAAAGAAGCTGACGTACCCGGAGAGGCTACGTAAGTTGGATATGTTTTACATGAATTACAGGCGGCTTCAGAGCGACTTGGTCCTCACATATCGTATTTTGATGGGTCAGATTGGTCCTGATTTGACTGGACTGTTTCGCCCAACTCGACTGCCAACCCTTCGTGGCCACCCATTAAAGTTGCACAAACCCCGGTCTGACCGGGTCTCATCCCGATATACTTGCATTCACTGAAACATGGCTGTCTCAAGACATCACGGACGGTGAAGTACATCTGCCTGGCTACGCACTATTTAGATGTGATCGCTTCGTTGGCCGAGAAGGCGGGGGCGTTGCGCTTTACGTTAGGTGTGAACTTGACGTTTCATGCACCTACATGTTTCAGACGGCAGATAAAACCGTCGAAGCGCTGTTGGTAGTGATTAACACTTCCTCAGCTCAACTTACAGTCGTACTTGTGTATAGAAGCCCTGGAAGTGCGTCCAAAGAGGTGCTTGAATTTATTCGCTCCCAATCCGAAAACAGGTGTTTGATACTCTGGGATTTCAATCTTCCAGAAGTTTGCTGGGCGGATCTTTTTATATATTTTTACATTTTCTTTTATTTTTTCTGCTATCTGCCTGCAAAGCAGAAAGCCATTTTTAGCGAAAAATAAAAATAGCCTTATTCGTAGACCATCGTTTAATTGCGAATAACTCGCAAACTACTGCACGCATGGTGTTGCTTTTACGTTCATCGTATTCAGGCGCTAAAGCTGGTCCAGAGAAGTGTAATTTTGTGCTACTTTAAGCGGTATTCTAACTGTAGAAAGGCTTTTTCTTTAATCTGAGTATAACTCAGGTTAAAATTTTGCGCCGGAGAGCAATATCAGCGTAATAAAAGTAGGGCTATATTCTTTTGTTAATTGGTATTTTTCTACTGAAGCACGCAGATTTATTTTCTCTCTTAACAAATTGCTTCCATTTATGTCTGCATTTTTCGGAATTGTTTTTACTTTTCGTATGCCTTATAATCCCTTCATTCATTTCTTCCATGTGCGCAACAACAATTGGGGCAACTGAGTGGCCAATTATTGTGCGATCAATTTAAAGTGAACTTGTGGCAAATTGGATTCTGTTCCAAGGAGAAAAAGCAAACTACACCTCCGCGAAGTTTTCACAATAAAATACAAGGAGCTCAATATCGCCCGAAGGAACCAGAAAAATGTCAAGGTGGGCGCGTGCGACCCAGTAGCTGTATACTAAACAGTGCCAATGCATTTGCAATTGCTAACGATGAACATATATTTTGCCAGCTTCCTTGCAAGAGCATCGGATAAATGTAAGCATTGATCTGAACCCTTTAGGGTGCAGCCTCTAGCAGGTCTAGAAATATACCTATTTATTTAATTATTTATTTATAAGATAAGCTCGGCTGGTGTACGAAAAGGAATCGGCAGACGGAGTTTCGGAAAATCCGAAGCAGTTCTTCGTTTATGTTAAGAGACGCTGTGGTTCAACTTCGGTAATCTCAACTTTGATGAGGGCCGATGGAACTCGTGCGTACGCGGACTCAGATAAGGCCCGTGTACTTGGGAAACAGTATGCAGGGGCTTTTGTACGTGAGGCCGCGTTGACTAGCGTTGAATTTGTCCCCAGAGTACCTGATGGTTCTTATTTAGCTGAGTTTACCGTGGTGGAAACGCAAGTCCTTAAACTGCTGCAAGAACTGAACCCTTCCAAAGCAGCTGGACCTGATTCAATTCATCCGAAGCTTCTCTATGAGTTGGTGGGGGAACTAAGTGGATCGCTGACGATGGTGCTTCAGAAATCACTTGACAGCTGTACATTACCTTCCGAATGGAAGGAGGCTGTCATCTGTCCTATCTTCAAAAATGGCGACAGGAGTCAATCAGCCAATTATAGGCCAGTTAGTCTGACTAGCGTCGTGGTCAAACTGCTTGAAAAGCTGGTGAGAGATTCGTTGGAGTGTCACCTGAATAGATTTAATCTGCTCAGTAGTGCACAACATGGATTCCGGAAGGGATTTTCGTGTTTGGCGAATTTGTTGGTTGCTCGTGAAGTTTGGGCCGAGGCAGTGGACAATGGCCACGTGGTGGATGTGCTTTTGGTAGACTTCTCGAAAGCCTTTGATAAGGTACCCCACTTGAGGCTATCACATAAGCTGAGGTCCTACGGCGTATCTGGCCGCGTTTTACCGAGAATATACTATTTATTTATTTATTTATTTACTTCACTGGGTATCTGCGTTTTTGCAGGGAAGAGAGCAGTGTGTACGTGTGGATCGCAGCTTATCCTTTAAGCAAGCGGTCCTTAGCGGTGTCCCACAGGGCTCGGTCCTTGGACCGATGCTGTTCTCCATCTACGTAAACGATCTCCCTGGAGAGTTTGGGGTATTATCCTTATTGTTTGCTGATGACCTTAAGCTATGGAATGTTGTAAATGTTCCTGGGGGTTCTGAGGCCATACAGCGTGCATTGGACAGACTCTGGGACTGGTCTACTTTGTGGCTACTGCCCATAAATCAGGCTAAGTGTTCCGTCCTTCGTATAGGAGCAACGTTCCCGCCTTCGGGCTACGTACTCAGTGGGGTCGAACTCCCCGTTGTCTCCAATCAGGTAGATCTAGGTGTCGTTCATTCCTCGTCTTTGCATTCTGGTGACAACTGGAAGAAAGCCGCTAGTAGGGTTTCAGAATGTTATGGTTTATACGCCGTTCTTTCGGGGTCTTAACTGCCGACATATTTGTGAAGCTATTCTCAGCTTTCGTTCGGCCCCATCGGGAATACTGCGTCCAGGCTTGCGCGCCCTGCCTTGTTCGGGACAAAATGGAGCTTGAGAGGGTTTTGAGAGTAGGTACCAAATTGGTCGAGGGGTTACGGGGGCAATCGTACCCTGAGCGTCTACTTAGCTTGGGTATGTATTCAATGCACTACCGACGGCTTCGATGAGACCTTACCGCATTTTAACAGGGAAGATTGGGCCGGACTTGCGCTGGCTATTTAGCCAGGCTAGGTTGCCTTGTCTTCGCGGTCATCCCATGAAGCTACACAAGCCGCGTTCTGACGGGATCAGGGCGGAAACTCGGTTATCGCGTAGAGTTATCGAGCGCTGGAACTCGCTTCCAGAAAATGTAGTCAGTGAACCTACGGTTAAGGGTTTCGAGCGTCAGTTAGACGCTCTTGCGTGGCAACACGAAACATTTCCCTTCTCCTGACCATATCCATCTTCAAACTTTTAGTTCTTATTCTGTCATTATCTTCACTCTTTGGTGTTATCCTTCATTTTAATGACTTTCATTCCCCTTTATCTTCCATTTACTTCTACTTCTTTCTTACTTCCCGGAACCTACACAGCGCGGACTGCTAGTGCAGGGAACGTGGGCAGTAGTTGGTTGATCAGGGTGTGTTTCGGGTGTTTCGTTTTACATCTATCAAGAACTAACACCTTATCATTTCCTGGCTCAACGATTTGCTCAAGAAGGAACACTCAAGGGATTTTCCTATCGTTCCAGTCCATCTGAATCTGAACCAGGATGGAGTTCGCGAGAGCGATTCGAAGCCGAGAAGAGCCAAATCAATACACACGAATCACATAACGGTCAACTAATCAATGCCCATGCGGCCGGCACTAGCAGTCCCCACTGTACCGGCCACGTGGATGGAATAAAGGTTAAGAGAAAAGATTCAACAAAAACAAAATAATGGTAATTGTAGTATGGGAGCGAATGTGTGGTTAAGACAATAATAGTAATAGAAGTGATAAGTCGGAGCACCCATATCAACTCCTGGATCGACGACCCGCTCAAGAAGAAGCACTTACGGGATTCGTCCTATCGTTCCAGTACGACCTGAACTTGAACTTGAACCTATTTACGCTCATTATTTGCACTTTACATAAGCACTCATTAAAAGAAACCCACATGCCTTTTCCACGACAAAAATCCTACAACTACATAAAATTTTTTATACATGTTTACATAGAGCCATTGCGATTGTTTATCTTTTCAAATCAGTGACCGTGATGTACCCGAGTTCCGCGGCCAGCAACTTAATTTCGTGCGTCATATTGATTCAACCCTGATAACCGACTCGTGCATGTACTTGCCTAATCAGTGTTCATACTTGGCAATGAAGTTTGTGGATTGACATCGGTTTCGTGCTTCGGTATACACATGGAATGTACCGAACCTCCGGTAGAATGTACCAAAAAGGTCGCGGAGTACTTCCTGATATGTGGTCTTCCAGAAAAGCCGATGTCCTACGACCTATCGAAAGTTTGTCTAGTTGCCTCATTTTACATCGTCTAGGTTTTGACCCATGCTGAAGAGATTATTATACCCGAGAATACAGTCGATTTCACTATTTTTCCCCAGCCCATTGTTGATATTCAGGTATTATGTTCTCGTAAACTTATTGTGGAAGTTGATTTGCCTTAAATCTCAGGGTAGTCTTCCCAGTGGCTATGTACCAATACGGCACAGTGTCAGTGGAAAATACAAGGCGGATATCAGTCGCGTGGGAGATGAGGTTTATATTTGCTTCAGACGAGGTAGAGACAAACCACCGATCACAAACATAGCGTGAGTTATCTTATTTTCTTCTTTACCTTTCTCATCGCGGTAGACACGCCTTTTTTCGTCTTAGTCATGATAGCATTTGCATTAAAGTGCTTAAGTCATCCGTCTAGCATATCTTTTTTATCACATTACAGATAAGCATTACAGATAAGCCCCAATAAGAGCAGTCACGACATGGAGGGTTTCGGTGCGGCTCTCTCCCATCCCTACACTTCAGTCACGACACCTGTATCAAATCTAGTTCCGATTTCGTTAGGTGGTAAGCGGCCGGGAGATCATGTTCTATAATCCGACGAATATGCGAAGCGGATGAAGTTCTAAAAATATCTGACTTAATTTTATAGAACGTTCTTCTCAAAGCTCAAGGCGTTCTGTTGGCTGGCGTGACCTGCGTGTCAAGGGATGCTTTGAGATTGTGCGAGTCTTGAGGTATCCCCCCATATGATACTCACCGAATCGATCCGGGCAACCAGTCGGGAGAACGGCACATTTGTCACAATTCATTGGGAGCGGCCACTCGACGGGCCAGTTGTTCAACTGATCTAACGAAGCATGGAGTCTGTCGGCACGCTTGGGGCGGGATCCTTCTAACCACAGTTTGTGGTCATCAGCGTAGACTTGGCATTCGGTTTGTAGTGTTTCTGGAAGATCCTTAATGTACTGATTGAAGAGCTCTGATCCTAGGACGGAGCCTTGAAGAACCCCACTAGTCATAGATACATGAAGTGTTTGGTTCACCTTCATATGAATGGTTCTTTCTTCTAGGAAGTCTGAAATCCAGGACAAGACGTTTTCGATGACACCAACTATCTAAATTTTGTGTGGAAACCGTATGTGTGACGGTTTGTCAAATGTCTTGCTAAAGTCAATGAAGGCGACATCAAGGTGTGTCCTCTCGTCCGTTACTTTGGCCCATGTTTCTCTGGCAACAAATAAGTTAGTGATGCAGGGTCATGCCCTGCGGAATCGTGCTCTGAAGGGGAGATTACGCGTAGGCTTTCCAGTGAAACCTGAGGATGCGCTTGATTCTTCTTTCCATGATTTTGCAGGCAACGGACGTCAGACATATCGGCCGGTAGTTCGCAGTGTCCTGCGGTCACCTTTGTATTTAGGTATTACAATTTTTACTTTCCAAGCGCGAGGTAAGCGGCTCTTTGCAAGTGAGAGCCGTAGTACTTGGCACATCGGATCGGCAATGTACTCGGCCGACATCAGAGAAATATTGGGTGCAATCCGTCACGGCCTGGTGCGGAGTTATTGTCCAAGTCTCGGATTAGTCGCATGACCATCTCAGCGCTAATTTCAACTTGCTACTAAGGGGAGCACATGTACACATGGTTATGCAGCGGTGGCTCCACCGAGTAGACCGCTGAGTGCTGCGAGGCCAGTAGATCGGCTTTCTCGTCATCGTGATGGAGTACAGTGCCTTCTCCAGAAGCAGCTAGAGTAGGGATACCAACGCCCGTTTTGTTATGTTACCTTAGGTATGGGAGGAATTTCTTCGGGCACGTGCGGGATTGAACAGCCAGTTATTATTCGTATTGTGCCCGCTCCTGCCTCTTTTTCAGAGTGCACTGCTTTCGGACATCGTTGTACTTTAGGTGATTCAAAGTTAGGTGTGTACTCTTGGGTATGGTTCACAGTTTACGCCGCCTCTTCAGTATGGACCTCTGTTCTCAGTCGATCCAGGTTTATTTTACATCGGGATGACTTTTGCGATAATCGACGTCATCTTGGACGGTAGTACGTTCGTCGACACCCATGGACTGTGGAATACTCCAATCTTCCGTACTTGCGGCGGTGTGTAATTTGGATGGATCTATGCGCCAGTAGTTACGACAATATGCTCCGTGGTTATTGATGTTGATGTCGTGTACGCATATATATATATATATATATATATATATATATATATATATTGAAACAGCCCATGAATAGACATTGAGCCATCGGCAACCATGGAACACAAAAGAAGGTACAGAAATAGTAAAAGAATACACAACACAACACATAAAAGTCCATGGTTTCGTCAGAGGGCGAGATACTACCCGGTTGCCCAAGCCGAAGTAGTGTGTGTGTCCACATATAGGAGAATAATGAGGGGTAGTTTCGACCAGGTGGTTGGAGGGTCTCCAACTCACAAATGTCAGAGGGCGCCAGAATGAACACCAGATCACAGACATTTGGTTTCTGGCCCGGGAATGTCCGCGTTGATGCAGCGATGTGCCGAATCATTGCATTCCTCAATAACGTCGAGAAGTCCCATCTTGAAGGAATCATGCGGAACATTACAGTAAAGAGGGTTCCAGTTGATATTAGGTGCATTGAACTCACCCGCTAGCAGAAAGTATCTACCTCTGTCATTTGTTTTGATTGGGTGAAAGAGAGGGAGAACTTGAGCCCGAGGGAGCTCTGTAGGCAACGCCAATCGTCAGTGTTAGGAGGTAACCAGGAATTCGGCACCAAAACATTTCTGTGGCACCGTTATTGTCGAAGAGGGCCTCTGACGTGACCTTTGAGGCATTTTCGAGTAAAGTATCATTCCCTCTCCTGTCCTCCAATTAGTACGATCAGCTCTCGATTGTTGTTATCCTGGTATGCTAATTTGTGACCTAGATCTCTGCGAATGGCCAAGTCTGTGAACTCGAGTGGATCTGGATGGTGTTCAGAGATGGGAAGTAAAATCTCGTCAAGTTTGTTTTTGAGGGTGCGTACATAGGTGTCTTACTCGCATACCTCTGTTTGTGTCAGCCGGATGGGTAGCAGAAAGATTTGCCACCAGCGTGCTCACTACGCGAAAGTCCACAAAATGTAAGTCGGGTTTACCATTGGCTCTTGGCGCGCGTGACTCGTGGACAGCTTTTATATTTCAACTCGATCCTCTGACGAGAGATCTTTCAGGACAGGGAATGTTTCACCTTTAGGTCGCTAATTACGCCTGAGGATGCGGCGACATTTTTCTTCGGCTTGACAGAGACTTTGGAGGGGGAAGGGCGAACTTGGTAGGATCTACCTGCCTTCTACTTAGGCAGAAGGCTGAAACAATGTTGATGCCTTGCTCACCGTCAAATAGAATGGATACCCTTCGTTTGAAGAATGCCTGGTCATCAAGCCTCTTCTCATCTGCGGTCACTGTCAGATTCCGGAGCATTTGTAATAATGAAACACCGTTCCTGGTGAGGTCTGTTTTCTCTTGGTTTCGCTGCTTTTAGTACAACCGGTTTTTCGGTCATCAATTTCTCAAGTTGTGTGACTCTATCTAAGACACGTTTGCGTTGGCGTAGAGTCGGATTTCGCTTTGTCTCTAGTGGTTTATTTTCTGTATCCAGTTCGAATTATAGTTCCTGCTAGTTACACTTTCAAATCCAGCGCACCGCCGACGCGCAGGTCCTTGTCTTGGTCACATTCTCAACTGCAGCTTCCTTGTCTTTTTGCTCTGCGTCATGCATTAGTGTTCCCGCTGATGAAGCGGTGGGGGATTGACTTTGATTGTGCCCGGGGCTAGCGGAAGGAGACATAAATGACGACAGTGCGGGTATTGGCGGTGCAATGTTCGTATCGGTCCTCTGTGTTAAGGTCAAACAGGCCTAAAGGGACTTGTCCTTTACAATAATTCGGCACTGCTCACAATGGGAAATAATGCCTGAGGATGCCGTTCGTTTTAGACAATCATACGGATCGGGTTCGATATTGCAGCAAGTTGTGTTGACCCATCCTTCCCACAGACCACATTGCACGGCCTAAAATCGGGAGGTGACACTTTTACCGCAACTCAGGCATTTAGCTGCCATTGTTTCGTAGGGGCTCGACGACTAATTGCTTAAGACAGTAGTACAGAACGTACAATCCGGCAAATCGAGAAAGCGAGAAGCACAGGTGGCGACAATTGTTGTTGGATCTTTTTTGAATGATTCGTGGAACCATGTCTGCTAACTTATAGTATTAGTTCGTACGTGTGCTATTATCTTGTTTAATGTGACACCTTTCCTCTTGCGTCTTGTGCATCCATCAGGATAGCCTGTACTGTGGACGATTATTCGCCACTGAGTCACCGGTCACGCTTCCCGTTTTCCGGTACTTGACAGTTGAGTTGCACCAATTGTATGGCTTATTCGAATTAACTGCCCCGCATCCGAGGACGCATAGTTTCTACTGTCGTTTCCTTCTTCGGGACTCCACCACCTAACCCGGCCTTGATGCAATATGTTAAGAGAGCGTCTTTCTTTTTTTAATACTTTGGGCGGATATAATTATCTCCGTCGGTATTATCGTTTAACAGGTTAGAAGGGATATTTGGACACACTGATCATTTTACTGCGTAGTTGCTATACTGGCTTTTGGCAGAGGACTCTCTAAATGCGCCTACGGATTCACTGTTTACGTCCGTAGATATTGTCTAGAGCTCCCTGTCTTACCATAGGCTGTTGATGATTGACACTAAGTCATATGCACCAGCGGTGGTCATCCTTTGTAACAATCTAGAGCTTTCCTCGGTTTGCCTTTGTCCGTTGTATGATATACTAAATACAATCGTCCTACTGTACACTTAGTCGGCCGGTAGCCGAGTGGTCTGCGCGCCTGGTTTGCAACCATAAGGTCGCTGGTTCGAATCTGCCTATAGGTAGACCTCCTCGCGGTTTACTCAGCCCACGCGCGACTGGTGGTGGTCGTGTGGCAGCGAAGCGCCGTTACGGCGTACAGCTGGCGATTTATTTTATTATTTACATTTTGGCGATCGGTGCGGAATGTTGACGAACATATTATTCGACTGTTTAGTTCGTGCAACGCCTTTGTTGGACTCCTCAGCTTGTCTGCCACGCGCCACCAAATCTTAGGACAACAAGGAACCTTTTACTACACAAAATCGAAGCCTCCTTGCGTCCATCTACTTTTTAGAACCTTAACCTAGACTGTCGCTTAACTGATCACATCGTGGTCACCAACAGTACTTTTAGTTTGTATTTTACACAACGGACTAAATCAAGCCGGGGAAATCTCCAAGT